TGTAATATTTATTAGAAAATGTCAATCAAAATTATTATTATTTTGATTTGAATTTGTAGAAAATTTATTAGAGAGTTTTTGGCGTTTTTGATATATAAAAATGGATTATTGGGAAATTATAATGATAATAAAATTCATTGGACAATTTGGCTTCTAATTATCTAAAGACGTAAAAAAAATGTATGTAAATTTAGTATTTCCTATGCTATAATAAATATTTTTAGGGGTAATTGAATCAGATGATTAGGATATTGAAAGCAATGACTCTGACTCAAGCCATCCAGATGACGTATTGTCAGGACAAATATATAGAAATCTTTTAATATCCCATGAGTTGCCCCAGATTGGAAAGGCAGTTTACCCTTCGCTAATAAAATTAAAAATTCGATATGCTACTTCAATGGGAAATATACTTCCTACAATAGTACTACATTCTAATTTATATACAATTCAAAAAGATATAAGCAGACCCCTTAATTTATCGTTAGATGAATTAAAACAATTCATAGGAATTTTGTTCAATATGAGCATTATAAAACTATCAAGACATCGTTTATATTGAACGGCTAATAACCAGAATCGCGAATTTAGCTAATATTATGTCAGTAAAAAAGATGGGAGTTCATAAAATCATGTTTTTACCTAAATGACAACACGAAAGCATATTCTTTTGGAAGGGTATGATGTTCTTCATAAAATACCACCTAAGATATTTTAAAAGAAATTACACTTAAGAGAAATTCTATGCGTCTGAGCAAGTTGTTCATTTTAAGGGGCAAAGTAAGATGAAACAATACAAGGGTTTAAAATTTTTTTATTATGTGGAAATGATGGTATTATTTATAACTATGAAATATATATGGGGAAGAATTCCAAGCCGTAGGCATGTCAGATATATGGACTTGTGGGAATTCAGTTCTGCGCATGGTTGTGCAGTTGGGTTCATCAAAATTATAATTTATGCTTTGTGGTTATCTAGCATAAACTTACTAGTTATTAGCGCAAAGGAGAATACAATGTGTATCAACGGTTAGGGTAAATTGCCTCAAAAATTGCGTTTTGCCGAGAGATCAAGAGATTTAAAGAAAGAAAGGTAGTTGTGTTTAAAAAAACGGAGATCACGAATTATCTGTTATCAAATGGTTTGGGAATCGTTCCGTTTATCTAATGAGCAGCTTTATAGGGACCCACCCAATATCTGACGTGAAACGATATAATTTTTCAAAAAATTATATAAAAGAGATAAATTGAAACTGGGGAAAAAAATAAATAAAATTTAATTCTATTAAAATGACGTACCAAATAAAAATGTTTATAAAAAAAATTTTTTTGCGAAATATCTCTTTTTTATGTAAATATTTTTTTTTATTTCCATTTATTATTAACACTTTTCTTAGAAACTCAAGCAAAAAATTTAATAAAAAAAATTTTTTTTATAGATAAATTGGAGTTAAAGGCAATAATATTAAAATTAATAATATTAGTTATTAAAAAATTTTTAAATATTTTTTGTTAAATTTTGAAGAAAATATTATTATACGAATCAATTGAAATATTTACTAATTATTTTAGTTTGGGTAAAAAAAAAATATTTAAAATTCGATCTCTAAAAATGATAAAACTGCTATTGATTCTCTCTATTATGGTTTTGACCATATTCCAAATCAATGGTAAATAAATATTTTTTTTATATCATAAATAATTCATAACATATTTTTATTATTCTTTTAAAATTATATAAACTTTAAAATCTTTTAAATATTTAAAATTTAAATTAGGGGCTTTCAATTTTTTTTATAATTATCAGACTCGTAGGTCAGCCTGAACCGAATTTAGAAACAGCGGATATATACTGTCTGGCTAGGGTCTTTTAATAGTAATATTATTTTAAAAAAATCAATATTTTTAAATTATATCAATAATACCGAGGTTTCATATTATCAACCATCTTCCAAAACCAAACGGATGCAAAAATTGTCTCAAATAAAAAATATATTTTAAAATCTAAAACAAACAGAGACATAATAATAAATATTAAAAATCCAAATCAGGTATAACATTAATATGACTTACTCAAAAAAAAATAATTAGTTTTTTTTAAAATAAAATAGAAGTTAGGTCTAAAAATAGAAGAAAAATATATTTCATTAGACAGACACTATTCTATTGTGGAATTTTATGATAAAATTTATCAATATTACTAAAAAATTGTTTAAAAAAATTTGTTTTCTATTTTTCACTTTAACGTAGTAGCATATAGATTTAATGGAAGACAATTTAATTAGAATCTTAAATCGTACAGAGCTAGTTATTATCCATATAATATTTTTTATTTATTAATACGTAATCCTTTATCCAATTATAGCCAATTTTCTACCAGAGGATATTGTTTTATAAAATTATCGAATATATTATTATTATTATTAATACTAATCGTTATTCAATATAATAAAAATTAATTTTTATTTGATCCTTCCTAAATGCTTAAAATATCTGGATAATAAAATAAAGATTAAAATCAAAAAATTATTTTCTAAAATAATATTGAAAATAATAATGAATTAATAATTAATACAAGTACAAATTCTGAGATCCATCAATTGTGATTTTAAATAATAACAACCATCATTAAAAAACATTAGTAATAAAATTAATATATATTTATATATGTTAAACAATGATGACTGTAATTATTGAGGAAAGTTGTGAATAAGATAATTTTTTAAAAACTAAGTACAACATTAACAGTCCAGGATAGAGTCCTAAAATAGCATTTTTAAAAATTAGGTCATAAAATAAATATGAATTAAACTTCGACCTGGGAAATTTTAAATCATATATATGTCGTATGGGGATTTAGAATCTTTAGATTTTTAAATCCCTTACCAAGGGCTATTTAAAAAATTTTGAAATCCGAGACGGTCATGGGTTACTTTATTTGAATATTTACTGTTATGATATGATGTCAAAATGCATTAGTAAATAATTAATTTTTTAAAAAGGTAAAATAAATAAAGGGTAGAAAAAGAGTTTACGGGAAAGGAGAGGGGATAAAAAAAAGGAAGCTTGTAAAATGGAAGGTTAATGGAAGAAATGAAGCTTAGATAGTTAGATGGCGATAGCAAGAGTTTGGCCTTGCGAAAATATATTCTAGCATGTGTATAGTATTTACCCTATAAATCAGAGTCATGAACTTTAAAACTACTTCTAATTTCTATTAATTTTTGTATGGATTTTTCATATAAATTTTAAAAAATACCTAAATATCTATGACTGAAATCGGCTGAAATTTATAGTGTAAATACTCGATACATTCTAGAATACATTTCGGTTAAATCTAATTTAAAAATTTTTTAAATGGCCCTCGGTAAAGGATTTAAAATCAAGAGGTTCCGAATATCCCCATGGATTCCTATTCTCCATACGACAATATACATTAGTCGGAAAATAAATTATTAGATCATATTTGCCATGTTCAAAAGTTAAATTTATTTAAAATAGAAATAAATTATATACATTTCCAGGGTTTTGTTATTCAAAAATCAATTTTTCTAATTAAGTCCAAGAGAGATTAGAATAATAATTTTTTTTATATCATTTTCTTAAAAATTATACAAAATGTTTAAAATTTAATCCAATCAAAATAGAGCCAACTTTAGATAAATTTATTTTCCAGAATTTTCTCTCCTTATGTAAATATTCATATATTTTTTTCTCATTTACGTTAACAAATTTCTTGGAAATCAAACAAAATTTTTTTTTTATCTTTCTCTTTAAATAAATAAAAGTTTAAAGCAATAATAAGAATTAAAAAAATATATAATCGAGTCATCAAAACATTTTATTTAAAAAATAAATTTTATTAATTTTTTAAAGATTAAAAAAATATAATTATAAATAAGTTAAAAGTGTTATTCATTACTAAACTATTAATTAAAAATTATACAATTTGGTATTAAAAAAATTTTGGCTTATTAAAAAAATGAATAAACTGCTATTGACTATTTCCTTATTGATTCTGACTCTATGCCAATTTGATGGTAAGTAAAAATATATTATTTTTCTTATTAACATCATTAATTTCTAAATTCTTATATTTTAATTAATAATATTTTTCAATACCTAACAGCTTTTGAACTATGACATCTTATTTTAGCCTTTTTTTGTTTAGTATAAGGTTTTTCATTGTTATATTTGTATTTTTTTTAATTGTGTTATTTTTATGATGTTTTTAAAAAAGCAAATTCCTTTCTTCCTTCATTCTATTTTTCTCAAACTTTCTTTCTTTCTTTCTTTCTTTCTTTCTTTCTTTCTTTCTTTCTTTCTTTCTTTCTTTCTTTCTTTCTTTCTTTCTTTCTTTCTTTCCTTCCTTCCTTCCTTCCTTCCTTCCTTCCTTCCTTCCTTCCTTCTTTCCTTCCTTCCTTCTTTCCTTCCTTCTTTTTTTCTTTTATCTACCAAAAATTTTAATGGTTAGACCATAAAATAGAAAGATTTTTTTTAAAAAAAAATTAATATCTTAGCCGAGCCCTAAAATTTAAAAAAACTTGTGAAAATATATAAATAATTATTAATAAGACGATATGTATGTACATAAAACAATGATATAACTTTTTATCGTAATTATATGGTCCGTTGTAAGAAGATAAACCTTTCTACAATCTATGTACAAAATCGTGAGACTCTTAGATAATATTGTTTTAGGCTTAAATCTTCCTAATTATTTTTATATGAGGTTTTTGTACAACACTAATCATAATTATATAATATTTTTTTTATATTTATACAAAATTAGTTTATTTATATTTCAATTTGGAAAAGAAACTAATGGAACTTATCTTAGATACAATATAATATTAATCTGTCTCTATCTTATTGCTAAAATTTTTACCTCTAGTGGCTATATGAAATTTATTATATTATTATCAAATAATTCTTAATCTTTTATTCTTGTTATATATTATATTGATTGTATTTTATATTTATTTAAAAAAATAGGTAAAACTACTCCAAGTAAATATTTAAAAAATCTAAATATTTGATAACAACTACAATATTATTATTATTATTATATATAAGATAAACAAGATTTATATTTTCTTTAAATATCTGAATTCATTCTCAATGGTTAAATATGTTGAGGTTTAGCTAGACCGCCATCTTATATTTTTATTCTATTCGAATTCATATTTAATACAGATTAAATAATTTTGTTTAGAAGGCAGTGTAGTCTTAGATCTGCTTAAATTAGTTAAGGATTAACACCCCTTTTAAAATTTTTATGTAGATTAATAATTTCTTAATCTAATATTTTGCTTTTACTTATTATTTTTTGTTTTGTCAATTTAATTTTGCTTTTAATTCATTCTCATACTTGAATGTCACCCATAAATTTAAAATTTAAAACACAATCAATGAAAAATTATAATTTATTACACCAAAAAAAAATTTTTCGAAACTAAAAATTTTATTAAAAACCTTATTTTTTTGATTTAATAAACCTAATACCTAAAAATAACCTAATCATTGAATAAATAAAGAATATTATAAATATTCAAGCCAAAATAGATTAATAAAATTTAATTCTAAAAAAGATTTAATTTTGTTAAAATAATTAGCTTAAAATTAAATATCTCTAAATATTTTTTTAAAAAAAAACTACTCATAATCTACTCTTAATATATAGTAGTGACATAGAGAATAAATAGAAATTTTGTTTTTAAAATTTTATAAAATACATAAATGATTCGATAACAGTAATAAAAATTTGAAAAATAAAATAAAATACTGAATGAAAAATGTATGGGATCTATCAAGCTTATGTGAGAAAATTCATATATTTTACAAATTTGGATATCGTAATATATTCAAAACAATATTAACTTATGAATTTTTTTATTATATATAAAAAATTTTGAATATATAGTAATGATATGATTAAATATATTAATTTATATTAAGATTTATAATTTTAACGAATATATAGATGTATATATTCTATCTTTACCTTAAACCAAATTTATAAAATTATATTATAGATATGATAAAAATAAAAAAAACCTATATTTGTGTGTTGCATAAAAGCAAAGGCTCGTACTTAATTCATTTACAATCTTATAATTTGTTTAGAACTGTAGTGTTAACAAACTTGGTTTGCTACAGACTCGTATAGAATAAAACTTGATAGACATTTTTTAAATATGTTATTTAATGAAATAAAAGAATCGCCCCCTATTTGAAAGATAATATTTGTAATTAATTATTTATTTGAGAAACAAAGCAGCATAATAAACTCTCAATCCTCTTTGGTCATAATTGAAAGTTAATTTTTTATTAATTTTAAAATATTTTATTTAGAGACCAATCCAAAGATTACGAGTAAATTCAATATTAAATAATAATTGACATTTTATTTTATCAGTCTAATTTATGTTGAAAAATACCGTGAATAAGATTTAATTTATATTATTTAATATAGCGATTAAAATACCGACTTGTATAAAATAAAACTTGATAGAGATTTTTTAAATATGTTATTTAATGCAATAAAAGAATCGCCCCCTATTTGAAAGATAATATTTGTATATTTGAGATACAAAGCAGCATAATAAACTCTCAATCCTCTTTGGTCATTATTGAAAGATAATATTTTTATTTATTTTAAAATATTTTATTTAGAGACCAATCGAGAGAATATGAGTAAATTAAATATTAAATAATAATAGACATTATATATTACCTGTCGAATTTATGTTGAAAAATACGGTAAATAAGATTTAATTTATATATTTAATATAGCGATTAAAATACATTATTAGTGTTATTATATTGCTCTATTTGAGCCGATTTTTAACCAACTCAATAGGCCTTGAGAGTTTTCAAATGGATGCCTAAGCCACTTATGTATTGAGTTAGCCGTTTTATAAAAACCGTGTCAAAACGAGCCATTAATACTACCAAATATTATACCCTTTGATTTTAAAACAAATTTACACATATTCTACTTTTAAAAAAAAACATAGCATTCAAACCTAATAGTACGTGCTGTAAAATGGAAATTTATTCAATGCATGGTTTTAGAAATATTGAATTTGATCTAGTAGGAAATAATAGAAATGGCATATTTAATGTAAGGGTAAAATTCTCAGCTCCCAAATCGTCGTACTTTAAAATGGATAGTTTCATCATTAGAGTCCATATATTAGATGATGGAAAAAATCTTGGCGAAGTTATTCAAGAGGAGTTTGTCCAATACAAAAATGGAACGGTTTTTATTTCATATTTTTTTTTATAGAATATATAGTTTAAGAATCTCTCATAAAACGATAATTATTTTATTTTTTCTCTTTCAAATAAAATAGGAAAACTACCAATATACAATGACAAATTTGAATCAAAGCTTGGAATACTTCATAGAAATTTTCTTGCACTTCCAGAATGTTATAATTTATGAGTCTTCTTCTAAACACACATTGAAATGTAATATTATTATACATTCATTTGTCTAAATATTAAATTTAAGGGAAAAAGAATAGTTTTTAGATACATTAGTTTGTATACTTATTTTATTCATTAAAAAAATTCCCATTTAATTATAATAACTCTATGACTTATTAGGAGAAATTTTAAAAAATAGAGTAAATAGTTATTCATTTAAAAATTTCAGAGATAAATTTTAACAATTATATTGAATTTCAAATCATATAATTCAAAGAATAAAATTATTATTATTGTAAATTTTATTTTATTCAATTTATAGATCAGAAATCTCCAAGAGGTCTCTTAATTGGTAGGCAATTTAATTTATTCAAAAATTTATATTTTATACTTAATAAATCATATTTTTTTAAAATCGCTAAAGCACTATATAATTAATTGAATATTTGAATATCTAATATACATTCATTCGCTTTCTCATAAATTTAAATTACGAGCAGAAAACCAGTCATGAATGATGGGGAATCAGAATTATATTATTAAATTAATGACGGTTGAATCTGAATACCTCTTTATTTGATGATAGATAAATCAGCCTAAATCATAAAAATAAAGGGAAAATAATTATTAATCTATTATCATATAAAGGAGTATGAAAAAAAATGATTCCCAATCATTAACATCAGAGCTCCCGTTCTTCAACTACTTATGCACCTCAAAGCGTGAAGATGGATGATAAATTATAAAAGCAAAGAAAAGAGAAAAGGAATGTAGAGAAGAGAAAAGAAATAGGAAACTAAAATACGAAATATGAAAATATAAACTTTTTTTATAATTTAAGTTGTCAACTTAGGGTTTCAAGACACATGCATTTGTGGCCATATAAAAAGAGTCAATAATGAAATAAAATTTATAATATCAAAAATTTTGCCTGTTTTTAAATATTTTTAAAATTATATCACCACGTGACCTCCTTTTATTTGATGATGAAGATGTTGTCTTTTCTTTGCCCAAAATATGTCGTAAATTTGAAATTTTTATAAGGGTAAAAAAATTAAAAGCATAAAATAGAATTTACTGTTATTGATGATGATGTTACCTTTAAATAGTTGATAATGATTTTGACTTTTCTTTGTCGAAAGTATGTCTCTAAAATTTTATTTAGGGTAAAAAATTAAAAGCATCAAATAGAATTTACTGTTGCTGATGAATGATAAAAATTAAATAGTGTATAAGATTTGTTGTTGATACTACCTAGTTTGATTTATATCAATTTACTGACCAAAAAATTTAATAAATAATAATTATAAAAATCAAAAATGGTCCGTATAAGATTTACTGTTCATAAAAATTAAAAAGCGGAAAAGAATTAATCTTGAGGCTACCCAGTTTAATTAATTTAAAGATAAAAAAATTAAAAAAGAATATGTGATATACTATTGAGGATGTAGAAGCAATAAAACACTGCTCTCGATTTTCTTTAATAAATTTAATTAAAAAGAATATAAAGTTTAACCTTGTTACTAAAATAAGACCAGATTGATTTCCAATATTTTGATCCATCTTAAATTATAAAATAGAAATAATAATGGCTGTTATATTCTGCTAGGATATAATTTAAAATTTTATTAATAATCTGGAAATATTCGAAAAAAAAATACTGAATTTATAAGAGCTCGTAATGGCCAAACGCTAAACAGCTATAGCAAATAATGTCGTATTGAGTTGCGAATTTGATTCCACTTCATGGCTTGTTGCACCTTTTCATAAAACGCTATAATTTTCCTGTGGCACGGCTTTTATTATATAAAAGATATGTTTTGCGTGAATTGGCTCAAAATAACGCCTTGAAAAAATTTTGAAAGGATTATTCTCTCTAGCTAGTTACCTAATTATTATAAGTTATACCCAGAGTTGGGCATGTCCTCCAGAAAAAGAATCTAGTTACAGATACAGATTCTTTATAAAAAAATGAATCTTAGATAAAGATACTAGTATCTTTTTCAAAATATCAAAAAGATACAAGATTAAAGTAACTTGTATCTTTTACTAAATTAGAATATCTTAAATACAAGATACTTTTAAATTATCATTGCCATTAAATTAGAATAGTTTATAAAATACAGTTTTTATTACTTATTTGTGAAGAATATAGCATACACATATAAGAATGAATATTTTCAATAATTAATAAAATATTTATTAATGAATTAATTATAATAACCAGGGATTTTAATTTAGTTTTTGCCCATTAATAGCTTACAGGAAAGGGAAAGTAGTATATTTAATGCGACTTCAAAATTTGCAAAAAATAAAATTAAATCAAATGATTTATTAGAATTTGCAGTCTGTGTTGTTTTAAATATAGAATATATTCGGAGTATATGGCTAAATGGCATCTCTAACAAAAATATATACTAGTTTTATTTTATTCATTATTTTTAATAAGTTATCATTACTTGTATGTGATATTTATGTATTTTTAAATTAGTTTATTTTCTAATATGACTTATTAATTCTTGAGCTTGTAATCTGATACAACTAAATCTCTTTTCAAATTTTTTTTATATATTTCTTGCAAAATCATTAATTATATATAAAAAATATGAAAATAATGTACAACATTATATTATAATTAGTAAATACATAACAATTTTCTTTAATGCATTTTAAATTGATTAAATTTTCTAAATTAATCAGGGTTAGACAAGTCGGTCAATTGACAGGTCAAATTCAGTCAATTGACCAGTCAATTGACAGAAGGAGTATTTGACCTGGTCAAATATGGTCAAATATGGTCAAATACTATAAAATGTTATTGGTGAATAACTATATTTATTTAATGAACTAATATGTATTTAAAGCATATTTATCAATCTAATTTGTTTAAAAATTATTTTAAAATATATTTGTATCTTCAAGGTATCGATTTAATTATAATTTTATTAAAAATATAAAATTTTCTTATTAAAATATTAGAATTTTAATTTGAAATATATAAAAATCTTATTATTAATTTAATTGGATCTAAATATATAAATAAATATAAAAATTTTACTTAAGCATAGTTTGAGAAAATTACTAATTGCCAATTTATATTACATATGTACAATTATCCAAACAAGACGGGTATCATAAATAAAGTGTAATGAGCAAATATAAATATGCAAGAAAGCACTGAAAGCAGTTATTGAAGAAGTTGGATATTTGTCCGTAAGAAATTTCATTAATATATTAAATGATATTTTGGACAAAAAATTTAAAATTTAAAACTATTCATATACATTTAGCTATCTAATTGACCTTGGCTTACGTAAAAAACGAGATGCTTAATTTAGAAAACACATAATACAATCATGTCCATGACTTTGTAATTTACCAACCTAAAAAAATATTAAGGATAAGTTTGAAAAAGAAAACAATCCAAATACATGTGCCCTCGCTCTGCTGATTATCTATTGGATTCCCAATATAAGGGTAGTATCATACTTTAATTGATGAAGCATATGACATAATACAAAAATTAGTCGTTTCATAATGTGATGATCATCAAAAAATTTTAAGTGAAATCATAAATTTCAGAAATAAAAGAGGAGTATTTAAGAGCCAAATTAGGTGGAAACCAGTAACATACATAAAAAACAATCATATTTCGGGCTTAAGTTGTTGGAATGGGCTTTGTTCACATTGAATTTAAAAGAAGTGTTTAAGAAATTCGATTGAAGATCTCGACAACCAGAAAAATGGTAGGAGTATATCATAACATAAGATTGATTAAAAAATATTGAAGAAAATGATGAATATAAATTAGAACAAGGCTCTGCCATAAAAAACGAAACATTCACTATAGAATTTAGAAAATAATTTAATATACATACATTTTTTACTATTATATATAAAATAGAATTAATATAAAAAACATTTATTTGAATTTGAACATATTTGACCTGTCAAATATCGTTCAATTGACCGAATCTTATTTGACCAGTCAAATGCACAACCCTGAAATAAATACTGTATCAGTAAATATTTAAATAAAGTAACCCATGTCTGGTAAAAAAAATTTTTTTTAACATATGTCATAAACAAATAAAAGTAACTATAAAAGTTAAATTCTACCTTATTATAAATATTTTATTAAGAGCCTTTTAAAATTATCTAATGTTATATATCAATTGTAGCTTAAATATTTCCTCTAATAAGAACTTGCTAAAATAATTATATATAAATATATTATGGATGGGCCAATATTTTTTATCGGATCAGATCAAGCCGATATCAGCCATTTTAAAATTTCGGTTATCGGGAAATATTATATTTGATCCAATATAAAATGGCTTCCCTAATAAAAATAAGTTATAAAATTTTTTAAAAAGTTATATCTAAAATCAATAAATAAAATCGAAATCCATTTTTAAGTATATTTTTTTAATAATAATAATTAATGAATAAACATTCTGACATATTGTTATTTTTTTTGCGCATTCTGTTTATAAAAGTGTGCTATCTACAGAATCTGTTTTTAGTGAAACTGCTGATATTGACAATTTCTATCGCCGCAAGTTGCCCTCTAATATATTAGAAATATTGGTATTTCTAAAAATAAATCTTCGATATATTAATGTTAAATATTATTTCAAATATTATTTCAAATTTCAAAATATATTTGTTTATTACTTATTATGTATATATATTAATGTTATTATTATATAAAATTGATTTAACAATAAAAATTTTTTTATATATTTTTAGAATTGCAATTGAATTGAATATACACTATAATTAAAATATATTTAAATGACATAAGTTATGGTATAGTTAAATTATAGAAGTTATACTAATAAAAAGTATATTAAAAATTAAAACCATTAGTATCTTACAGAATACAAAATTAGATATCGAGAATATCTGATCGGCCTCCAAAAAGTGGTATCGATACACCCCTAAAAAATATATATGCAAAATGATTTTAATTTAATAATCAAACATCTTCTATAAAATATTTTAATAACAATTATCTAAGAGGGACTTAAGTATTATTATGTTAATAATTATAAAATAAAAATGTATAATATACTATAATATGTTTAACAAAGTTTGTAGAGGTGTTTGTTAACCTTTAATAACTTTTTTACTTGTGCAATTTTAATATTCAACTTGTACCTTGTTCTTTTTCACATAAATTACTTTATAAAATTTTCCATCTAGAATTTTAAGATTCAGATTTGATTCAGGAGAACCTATCTCCATAATTTCATCTTCATTACTATTAATGTTAAACATTCTACAAATTAAAAAATATTACATATAAAATATATATTTTTCTTATTTAGTTTTGGTGTTGTTATTTTTAATCTATCTATCTTTGTGACCTGTAAAATTTTTAACTAATTTTGGTTATCAATATATTTAAAATATAGCGGGAAAAAATAAAGAAAATAATACAAGATTTCACGAAGAAATACATTGTGTGGTATGTAAATGTTTTAAACATGAATATTAAAAAGAATATCTGTATCTTTTTACAGAAAATGAAATAGATATAAGATTCTTTTCAAAATAAAGGATCTTAGATACAGATACTAATATCTTATTAGAAATGTTAATAAGATACTGAGTTTAAGATACAAAAGAATCTTGTATCTTGTATCTTAGATAAAAGTTTTCGCGATACTGCCCAACTCTGGTTATACCACACGACCTTAAAAAAATTTTTTTAAAAAAATTCATAAATATATTTAATTTGCTAAAAAAGGGCCCCGAATGGTAAAATAAAATATTTTACAATTCCCTGGCCTCTGGCCGTGCTAACCTTTATTACAATTGTAATGTTTATATATTGAAAGTTTTATTTTAAATAAATATTTACACATCTTTACAGATTATTTGCCTTTTAAGATAAATAATGTGAAAATGGTTAAAGTGAACGGAAAATTGGGTACACAAATATTTTTTAATGTTGACAAGGACGATGAAGGTATTTTGGCATACACACTTTTTATAGAATCTACCAACCCAAGAGAGGGTTTTAAAGAAACAATTGCGAATAGGGTAAATAACAAGATTTTTTATGTATAAAATATAACAATCATAAACGTAGCCAGGATTTTCCGGGTTACCTTAGTATAATATAGTCATAATATATTTTTACAAGATAGGAGGTTAATTTTTTAAAAAAAAATAAATATGAAATATATTTTTATTAGTTTACATAAAATATAATAAATCCTTATATATATGTTAGCGGCAATGTAAAATATTCGGCAATGTGAGGTAGTGGTAGAGACAGGGTGATTTTGTTAATTCGGCAAAGTATACATTGCCGAAATAACCAGGCAATGTGCACATTGCCATTTAAATCAAGCAATGTGTTATTTTTGTAATATTATATTATTAAAAATTTTTTCGTTATTACTAATAATTTTTTCGTTATTACTAACAATTTTATAAGATTAATATTATATTTTAATTTGTTATATTATTTTTTTTAATATTATATTTCTAAATATATTTTAATTAGTTATATTATTTTTTTTAAATATATATCTTTTAAAAAGATTATATATTTATTTTTTACATAAATTTTTTCTTGATATATCTTTTGATCGCTAAATATTTTTTATTTTTTGTGTTATATGATTTTTTAATTAAATTTTTTTATATTTTTTATTATTTGTGTTATATAATTTTTTTTAATTAATTTTTTTAAATATATTTTTTTGATTGAAATTATTTTTAATATATATATTTTAAATGTTTTTTATATTTTACGTTATATATCTATTATATATCTTTTGATAGCTAATTTTTTTGGTAAAAGACAAGTGTCATAATCGTTATTTTTGAACTTTTTTGAGTTTTTTTAAAGCAAATAGGGAAAAATATGTTTTGCAAATATGTTAAATTAAAATTTCATTAAAGGTGTACTATAGAAAAGTGACAATTGTCATAATCGTTATTTTTGAACTTTTTTAAGTTTTTTTAAAGCAAATAGGTAAAAATATTAAAAAAATTCAAAAAAGTTCAAAAATAATTATTATGAGAATTGTCACTTTTCTTATAGACTTTCACTGAAATTTTAATTTAACATGTTTACAAAACATATTTTTACCTATTTGCTTTAAAAAAACTCAAAAAAGTTTAAAAATAACGATTATGACAATTGTCACTTTGCTATAGTACACTTTCGCTTAAATATTAATTAAACATATTTACAATATTTTTACCTATTTACTTTAAAATAACTCAAAAAAGTTCAAAAATAACGATTATGACAATTGTCACTTTTTTCTATAGTACACCTTTATTGAAATTATAATTTAACATGTTTACAAAACTATTTTTACCTATTTACTTTAAAAAAACTCAAAAAAATTCTAAAATAATGATTTTGACAATTTTCACTTTTCTATAGTACACCTTTATTGAAATTTTAATTTGACATGTTTACAAAACATATTTTTACCTATTTGCTATAAAAAAACTCAAAAAAGTTTAAAAATAACGATTATGAATTGTCACTCTTCTATAGTACAACTTTATTAAAATTTTAATTTAACATGTTTACAAAACATATTTTAACCTAAAAAAGTTTAAAAATAACGATTATGACAATTGTCACTTTTCTATAGTACACCTTTATTATTAAAATTTTAATACATGTTTAAAAAACATATTTTTACCTATTTGCTTTAAAAAAACTCAAAATCAAACGATTATGACATTTGTCACTTTTACCTTAAAAAATCTATCAAAATATATATAATAGATAAAACTATGTAAAATATAAATATATAAAAATCATTTTAAAAATATATATTAAAAATATTAATCAAAAAAAATATATTTAAAAAAATTTATTAAAATAATCATATAACACAAAAAATAAAAAATATTTAGCGATCAAAAGATATATCAAGGAAAAATTTACGCAAAAAATATATATTATGAAAACATATATTTAAAAAAAATATATTTATAAAAAAAATATCAATCAAAAAAATATATTTAAAAAAATCATAAAAAAAATAGCGATCAAAAGATATTTCAAAAAAAAATTTACGTAAATTATATAACAAATAAAATATAATTTAAAAAAAAATATATTAAAAAAATATATATTTTAAAAAAAATATCAATCAAAAAATATATTTTAAAAAAATATAAAAACATTAAAAAAATCAAAATGAATCCCGGAAAAATACCCCCAGGAAAAAAAACCCCGAAATTTTTTTCGAATTTACTTAAGATCTAATAATACCGATATATTTTTATTTGAATTTATTTTATAAAAAAATATTATAAAAATATAATTTAATAATAAATTATATACATAATAATGATTTATCAATAAATTAAACAGATCTTATTGCAAATTTTATCAAAGTCTACTTAATATAGTAATTAAGGATATTGTATTTATTACTATAGCAAAAATTTTTACAAAAAAAATAATACATGGGTTATTTTACTGGGATATTTTTTTCACCAGTACCAATTTGAACATCAGCATTTTTTCTTGTTTAAGCACTGCGATTTTGTTTTCGATGTCCAACTACCTCAAGGCCATCGTTCAAGTTTGTTTTCATCGCCACCTTGTATTTCATTTTTTAATCAATACCTAGATTGATGGGAGTTTATTCCCAACCAGTATAGAAAAACGATGATTCAAACCTTCGCATTGATTATTTATGAGTTAATCGTTGGATAGAGTGCTCTGATTCAAGTTTCTGGAGGAAATCGAGGCCCAATTTGACCTATCTGGGATTGAGAATTGCTTCTTGTGACCTCCCTTGAAACTCCATTGATGTAATTTTTATCGAAATATTCAAGAATATCCTTATCATTGGGAATAACCGATCTAAGGAATGCCATTGCATTGCCCATAACACATAAAGAAACAAATGCTAAGCCGTCCAACATGTCACAAAAGAAGCTTAGGGCTTCATCGGTTCTGTATTGGCTTTCCAGACCTAGCTTTTGAATTTTTCTATGGGTACTATGACACATATTAATAATCATATCAATGACAGTTTTAACCGCGCTCATAGCAGACTTTTCGAAATCCATGTATATATATAATGGATCAGGAAATAAATCCCATTCTTTTTTTTCTTATTTTTATTTTGTTTAGTTTTTGATTAATGTTTTTGATATTAACATTTTTATAATATTAAAATTAACATATCAAATATAAAATAAAATAAAACAATATTATATAAAAACGGAGGTGGAACTACAAGTTCCCAAAAAACATGAATAATTATATTTTAAAATAGGAACTTTAAAGTTCCGCTTGGCATATGTCCAAGGTAAGAGATTACGATCGGTGTAAAAATATAATTTGTGAATTTGGAATATTTCATTGTTTTTTTTTCTCGGCTATATCAACCGGATTAGAATTTAAATTTTTTGGGAAAGAAGATACGCATGTGAAGTCCTAAATTAAGGATTTCCCTAAAGACCAAGGCACGGAAGTTAAGCCATCTGGTCTTAAGTCATCATCTAATGATAAATTTGTAGGCTCCAGGATGTTTGATATTAGGGCCCTAGTAAGAGAACGGCTAATAGCCAAATTCATTGCTGAATGCCTTGCATGCCTGCCTTGACTATATATACAATTTAGACTATGTCTCCCTTTGGTGTCAACTAATATTTTACATTTGATGCATATATGTGGTTGAACAATGTTACATCCAAGTCGATGGCCTATGGCAACTCTTAATTGTTCATCTTATAAGAGGTTACCTAGGTTACGACTTGGTAATGCTTCCAACCATTCATAACCACTAGTACAGTCAGCATTTTGATACACCAAAGGGGGGTTTGATGAGATTATTTAAAAAAATTTTTTAATTAAAGGTTCGAAAATAGATTGGTGTGTTAAGATTGTGGGTAAGAAAGCTTCAGGTGGAGCTAAAGATACCCAGGCTGTCAAGGCTGAGTTTAGAAGGTTATCTTTAGGAGAGATAAAAGAAGATATCATGGCGTTATTCATAAAACGCGATGCCAAAAATGAGGAAAGAGATATAAGATTTAAAGGATATAAATCTAAACCACCCATTTTCGAGGGTAATAGTGAGAAACCACAATTAAAATCTTCCAATTTAATATTTAAAATATTTTCTAATAAACTTCTAAAAAATTCATGAACACGATTAATAATTTCATTATTTAAAAAAAAGGAAGAAGTTCTAAAAATATATAAAATCTTTGGTAAAAATAAATATTTTTTTAAAAGAAAAAAGCTCTGGTGTAAAGGAATTTCGTTTAAAATAGTTTCAAGTCCTGATAAGCCTTCGAAAAAATTTTCCACCAACACCTCACAGTTGGAAAAACTGCTTAAAGGTGAACCTCAAAGATTAATTTCACTTTTATTAATGGACTTTGAGAGTATTTGAAAAATGCATATTTCCGATTTAGCTTTATTTAGAGTAAGGCCTATGTTTAGAGAATTCTTCTCTATATATTCTATCGCTGCAAGAATATTTTTAGAAAGTCCGCAAATGGTACCATCATCTAGATACCATATGTTTAAATCTAAATTAAAAGAGGATTTTAGACAATGAACTAGGTTATGTATACCTAAACTAAAGATCAGAGGGCCCAAAGGGTCTCCTTGTTGAATACCTTCGTCAGAAGGAATTGTATATTCCCAGAATTTGAGAGGGGTTCACAGCCATAAGACTGTTCAATAAATCTTGCATAAACTGGGAATTTTTCATAAAAAATGTTCAAAAATGCTTTTATGGATAAAAAATTAAAAGCATTTTTAAAATCAAGCTTACAGACTACGGCGTCTGGAGGAGGATCTTCGATATATATGAGAAGAGAGTGAGCGGCTATTTCGCTACCCTTTAGTACCAAAGCCTAGTTAATATGTTTTGAACATTTTTGAAGCATCAGGTTTGATGCGCTCAACGATTATCTTAGCTAATAGTCTCCTAAAAAAAGACCCTATTGCAATTGGCCGAACTCCACCATCAGGCTTTGAAAAAGCAATTAATCTTGCGCCAAAAAGAATTTGGTGAACTTGACTAGGTAAATCATTGTTCAATATATTTTCCCTAAGTATTACCAATGAATTTACAAATGAATCTTGATAAGGATTTTTAGGGTTAATTAAAAATTGGAAATAAGAGGGGCGAAAACCGTCAATTCCTCCTGCTTGACATTTAGACATTAATACTTCGAATATTTTTTCGTAAGTATTTTTTTTTTTTTAGTTTAATAGCTGTTAATGAACGTGGCATTCGCTTATAAAATTATTTATCAATATTAATTATTGCTAGGTTATAATAAAATAATTAAGTGAAAATTGAGAAGAAAAAAATTGAGAAAAGGTCAGAAAAATAAAGATTAACAAAGCAAAAATGGAAAGAAAATAATAAACTGAGAAAAAAATTTAAGAAAAATTGACAAAATAAAATTTTTTAAAAATAACGATTTTCTTTTTTTTTTAAATTTTTTTTCCCGAGGGTTTTTTTTCCAGGGGTTTTTTTTCCTATTACCCAATAAAAATATATATTTAAAAAATATATATTTATCATAAAATATATTAAAAAAAATATAAAATAAATTTATAATAATAAATTAATATTAAATAATAATAAATGAATCTCAATAAATAATAAATTTATTAATTTTTAAAATAGAATATATTGCCTGATTCACTGCCTACCACTATCTCACATTGCCTAATATTTCACATTGCCGCTAACATATACATTAATATAAAAGCATGGTAATAATTTATTCTAAACAAGTATAAGAAATTTATTTATAAAATGTAAGTAGACATATAGTTGATATTCCTCTATTATATAGAAATATTTACAAATTACTAGGTAAAATTCCACTTTTACTGACAATATTAGATAATATATTACAGTTAATAATTTAACAAATTTTACTAATTAATGCTCTTGATAATAAATATAGCAACAATTTGTATTCAACTAACGCCATCTATTTATTTTTACTAAAAAATGATATTAAAAATTAATTTTCATATTATTCATCCTACAATTTTTTTAAAAGATATTTTTTGATGTCCTTATCAATATTTTATAGTTTTCTGTAAAATATATAATTCTCTATATTGGTAAAAATTAGTTGATTGTCATATGATAATTGATAAAATTAGATATACTGTAAATCTACGACATAAAATATTCCACTGTTTGTATTGTGCTTTAAATTTTTTATTTAATTTATGATTTAATTTTATCAATAATCTTATAATTATATTTTACTTTTATTATAAATTAATATAACTCATTTTATGAAAAATTATATTTGATATATTATATTATTTAATAATTTTATGGATCTATTATTAATTATTTTAATACATTTCACTTTTGTCTTAAGACTTATCTTTGGCTTATATTGGATTTCTTAATAAACATTTTTGGTTCACTTTTTTTTATATATTAATGCTTTTTTCCAAAAATGTATAAATTATGATGAATAGTTTTATAAAATAAAATATCAACTTTTACATTCTTTCTTTCAAATTATTGTTTAAGATATATGCATACATTTTTGGGGGTCAGGGAGTGGGGGGAAGACTAAAGGGGATATTTTTTATTAGCTTAAAATAATATTCAAAAAAAATAATAAATTTCTGAAGTGGGGGGATTTCCCCTTGCCCCCCCCCCACCCTGGATACGCCTATGTATACCAAGATTTGAAACTAGATAGATTAAGAGATATAATAAGTATAATAATTATTATAATACCCTCAAGGTTATAAGTCACTTTAACATTGCGCCTCACATGGTCTATTCTAAATCATTTTTTTTTAATTTTTAATCAGCAACAATTTCTTACATCACATTAATTTAATCTATTTAATATATATACATATAGCCAGGATCAGGAAAAAAGAATCATATATTTATTAATGTGAAACCAAACCTAGAATTCAAAATATCGTTAATTCAATATACCTATGAGAAAAGAAATTTTTACAGAACTGATTATCGTTTCATAACTTCTCCTGAATATTTTTAATTAATAAATTATGATTATAATGTATATCTATGTTAAAAATTAAAAATGGAGGCTATTTTATATTATATTTGTCTTTATTTTAAGATGTGATATAAATATTTTTTTAATTCAAAAAATTGTGATTATATTAATTATTTATGTTAAAATTAAAATTGGGTTATTTTATAATGCATTTACCTTTGCTTTATGCTGGGATATAAATATATTTTTATTTCAAAAAATTGTGATTATAATGTATATTTATTTTAAAAATTAAAATTGGGTTATTTTATAATGCTTTTCTTTGCTTTAGCTGGGATATAAATATTTTTTTGATTGTAATAAACCGTGATTATTCAGAGCTCCTCTTGTTTTCAAAAGTGCTCTATTTGTTTAAAAAAATTAAAAAAAACCCCTTTTTAAAATTATTATAAAATAATATAATAATTATAATAAAATAATAATAAAAATTTATATTTTATGTATTTACAAAATTTATTAAGCGAATTATTATGAAATCTTCCAGAAATATATATAATTTGAGGGGACATTTACGTCAATCTGAAAAAGAAAATATTTTAATGATTGAAATCTCATAAATTCTTAATTTTTTAAAATGTGTCTAAGGCCCTCATCTATTCTTAAACCATATGTTATTTATAAAGAATTCGACGTACTTTTTAAATAGATTATTAACAAATTCAATTTTTATAATATATGACTAGGATTGTAAGTTAACCTCGTACTATTTATTAAAAAAAAATATGTTTTTATTTCTCAAAATTATATATATGTTGAAGATAGTGAGAAGAATAGAATTATTATTATTATGAAATTATTATAAAATAAATATATTTACCAAAATACCATTTAATATAATGAGATATGAAGTAAATATGGAGTCCCGTGTAATTTAAACACCGAAACTCTTAACTCTATGGTTCTCCACTAAGTTGATATAAAAGATTATTTGCTAATAATTAATATAATTCTATTTGGGGTAAAAATAATTTTATTGGAAACAACAATAAGATATTATGGGAATGACAAAAAGATGAATTGGCTTTAGTCTACAAATGGTATTTAAGAGGCAAGGAGATAAAATTATGTTTATAAATGTTGTAGCAGTTAGAAAAAAGAAGAAATAAATTTAATATAATTAGAAGGGTGATGTGGATCACGGGATGACAGTATGGGAGGACAAAGTCCAGAATGCACGGAATATATTGGATGATTTGGACTAATCTTGAAGATTTCACAAAGTAAATTGGATTATATTGTTTATTTTTTCAAATTAATGTTAATATTATATTATGAATGTTTATGGCAAATAAAGAAATTGAAGGGTATAAGTGTGATATTTTTGTTATTTGTACAAATGGCAGGAAGATTACAGGAAGGGTTGAGAGTAAGGGCATTTTTACAGTTGCTTACTGTGACCTAGGATCAGCAACACAAGATTTGGTACACAACGCATTTATTAACCACTATACAGGTTGTCAGAAAGAAGTGAGTATAAGGGATTTTAGCATTTTGTTTTAGATATTTAGCTAATAAGGAAAAGGATAGAAAGTATGTAATGAGTATTAGGACTGAAAATGAAAATAAAATTATTTATTTATTATATATATGATGTATATTATTGGTTAATAATATTTGATTCATTTTGGCCCATTTAAGACAATAATATTTGTGTTATTAGAGGTCGTAATTTTGGCCATTTAAGACAATAATATTTGTGGTATTATATGTCTAGATTTATATATTACATCCAATATTTGACAATAGGTATTGTCTTATTATTAGGTAGGCCTTAAGACTCATTGAATTGTGAATAGGCATTAGGAAAACAGACCTAAGGTAATGCAGGACAGAAAAGATTGCTGAATATTTAAATGTTGGGGATTATAATGAGCAGGGATATATATGTATATATAGGGTTAAAAAAATATTCAATTGGTGATTTTAAGTGTGATTAAGATATAAATTTGAGCAATTGAGGATTTATGAAAATATATATAGAAGTGGATTTTTGTAAAAAAATATTTGTTATATAATTATGCATTTGAGTTGTGGGATGATTTAGTTTTTACAAAATTTAAAACTTTTTACTACATTCGGAAATAGTACGAACCATTTTATTTGAGCTTTTCACTAATTAGAATCTTTCAAACAAGAATTGGAAGATTGCCTCCTTTCGATTTAGCTTCTATCACATCTGGTTATAGCTTTCCCAAGCATCCAACAAAATTCTTAATTTTCATTAAAGATTCATGAGTAGACGTCAAAGATAAGATCGGACCCATATAAATATGCATTCTCTTTACATTCCTTCTTACAAATTGTTTTGTGGACTACTTTTACATAGTAACTTCATTCATTTATTTTCAACCGCTGATATGCCAATAACTTAGAAAAGAATGCCTTGATCACTTTAACACTCATTTTATTTTTTACTCAGCTGTTGGCCTTCGATGATTACATTGTAAAGTTAGAACACCTATATATTAGTAACTCTAAGTGTATAGCAGATATTTTAGGCAACGAGAGTTTTGCCTGTTTAAAAATATTTTCTATAAGCACAATCTAAGCATAATAATTAATTTTCAAGATATGTAACATTAGAACAGTCGATTTTCTTTGAAATAGGTTTAGCTTTAAGCGGAGAAATATTTTTTTGTTATATAAAATATTGGAACCCTTAAACTCTTTAAGATGGGAGAAAACATTGCAGGCAGTATGGATTAAAGAAATCTTGAGGATTTGTAATAAACGTAAAAGTTTTATATTCAAAGATAAGGAATTGAAACCATTCTGTCTCATTTTTAAAATTTTATAAAATGTGGTTTTGAGAAATAAGTCTGAAAAAGAGGTATTGGAGGAGTCAATAATGGGAATCTATAAAAGGGCTGGAAAACGATTGAGCCTTCTGGGAGAGAGGTGAAAGTCTTGAATTAGGACACTTGTTAATGATTGGTCTATGAACCCTAACTACACTATCATTTGGTAAATGAATAAGTTTCAAGCAGGAAGGGCAGATTTTAGATTCAAAGTTGGATGGCTATCGTTGTAATATAATAATCTGATCATTAATAAAATAAGAGCGTAAGGCAAGTAATTTAATTGAGTAAATGGCGCGACTATATATAAAAATAATTTAAAGTGATAATAAATTAATTTGTAGCTAAATATATATCCAGAAGCGAAAGTAAAAATTAATAAAAAGAGCCAATGGATAACGCAAAACTAATCATGTGACGCAAATTAAACAAGGGAAATAAAATCATGTTACGAGTCGACGAAAATAAAGGCATGAACTTGACTTACTACCACCTAATAGGTTTTATATTATAACGTGAATAAATCTAAATATGTGAAGGCTTGATCATGTGAAGCGCGAATAATTAATACAATTTTGAGCGAATTAAATAAGCGAAAATTTGTGCATCACTAAACCAATAGACATTAATGAATATAATAAAATTAAATCGCGCTATTATTAATTTAGCGACAAAAAAAATTGCGCTTAAAATTAATTGGTTTTATTTTAAATGTAGGATTAATAAATTAGTAAAATTAAACAAATTTACATAAAAAACGAAAATATAATTAAAATTTAATTCTCGATGGAGGGCCTAATGAATGAAATGACATAGAAATATTATCGAGGAGGCTTAAATACAATGTTTTAAAAATTTAACTAAAGTTTACAAAATTAAATTATATTCACTAAAATCAGGTATTTTATTATATATTTTATTATATATTTTAATATTATATAATTATTCCTAATTTTAAATTTTTCAACCAACGTGCAAATCGAGAAAACACATAAAAAGATTAAAACTTACTTTAATTTACATTCAATAACATGTCTGGCTGAGAAATATGCATTAAAACAAAGTTTATATTAAATCAATGTTAAGGTTAATAGTTTTCGCGAGTAATCAAATATCCTATCTGCCAAAATAAGGTTTCAAAAATATTTTTTAAAAACTAGGCTTCTAAAAACGTATAAACAAGAAATAAAATTCTTTTTTATTTCATATATAATATATATATTTTGGAGCCTAAAATATAAGATTTTTTTGCCATATTCAAAACAAATACCCCCTTTAGCACTCTGTCGAACTAAAAGTGCATTCTACATTTTCTAGTACTGATTCAAAATTTTAATAATTATTTTCTTTAAGCTATATTCAGAGAAAAAAAGAGAAATATTAAGGCTTTAAAATAATCATTATGTAAAAGATCATTTAAAAAAATAAGAAATAGAAAAAGAATAAGTGACATCATTCGATAAAGCAAATTCTATTATCTCCCTTTACCTCATATGAACACTAACCCTGCATTCACAATAACCGTGAAGCGGTGAAGTACAATAAAAATTTAAATTATATTTACACCTCATCGTAGGTAGCTAATTACAGAATAATTTTTTTAATAATTTTGCATCTGATTATAGTTTATCTCCTTTTATAATTCATAGCAAATTTGGATATATACTATAATTATGGCAAAAAATTAAAAATACAGCAATCATTATAAGAGTTTCGGATATGAATTTAAAATTTATCTCCTATATTTTAGAAGGTAGCTAATGCTTATAATTAGAAAATATAGGTCAGAGTTAATATATATATATATATAAATAGTTGAGTAAATTTTGGCAATAGTTATCCAAATAAAAAAAATCAAAAATCCGACTTGTTAAAACATTAAGTACTGTTTATTATCCCTAATTTCTCATCAATATAAAACATAGTAATACCCCAGAGATTTTGTTGTTGTTATTCAAAAAAAAAATTACGTGACCTATGTTTTGCTTAATAAAAATTTTAAGTGATAAAAAAAATTTGATAAGCAACCAACCCAGTATTAAAAATCTTTATTACGAAACAAATTTTATCGAAACCATTATCACGAAATTTAATGTATCGCTAAGAAATTGAGCAAAGGTAATATTGCTATACCAATTTCGAGATAATTACCCCGAAACATTCATTGAAGACAATATCGCG